CCACCTACCCATCCATCCACACCCATCCATCCACTCATCCATCCATCCATCCATCCATCCATCCATCCACCTATCTATCCCCCTTCCCCCATGATCACTAGGGTAGGCAGAACACACTCAGGGCCTCACCTGCTGTGGTCCTGCCCTCACAGTGCATCGCTGTCCTTGCTGTGTGAGAAGCTCAGAGCCCTTTCCTAGAGTCCAGTGTTGGGGTCACGTATTACAGGTGGCAGGGATGGCCCTGAACACGCAGTGCAGCCGGACCCCAGAGCAGGCACCGCCAGGCCCTCCAGGCCCTCTGGGCTGCCAGGATACACATGTCTGGGTCTACTGGTCTGTTAGTGTGTTGGGCTCCTCTCTTCAGAACTCCTCTCATCAGGTTAACATCAGATTAGCCGCAGCGAGGAGGCAGTGAGTCGGGCATCATTCGTACTTGGCCTTGTGAAGTTAATAGGATTGTTTTCCTGTGGTAGCCGATATGCCACCTTAGTTATGTGCTATTTAGTCTGAAAGTGAGCCTGCATGTCCCCTGGCCACCTTATTTCCTTCACCACAGATGACTTGTCAAGTGACACGTTGACACAGGGACCCTGTCTGAGTGACTGAAGAACGGGTCCTGTATTTGTCCATAAGGAAACTTGGTTTATGCCTAAGAGCCGGCGAACAGCTGTCACATCCGAGAGTTACACTCTGATGGCCCCCGAAGCACTAGCCTCCTGTCTTTCTCAGTCCCTGTCCCTACAAAGGCCCTTTAATGGCCCTCGGGCTCCTGTCCCTCACACACGTCCCCTTTCTGTCCGGTGGGACAGTGAGAGGGCGGGACTCACCTGCCGTGTCTCCACGCAGAGCGCTGAGAGTTCGCAAGAAGATGTCGGGGGAGAGGATGCCGGTGAAGATGATCGGGGACATCCTGACGGCCCAGCTCCCGCACATGCAGCCCTACATCCGCTTCTGCAGCTGCCAGCTCAATGGGGCGGCCCTCATCCAGCAGAAGACGGACGAGGCCCCCGACTTCAAGGACTTCGTCAAGGTCAGGAGCCAGGCTGGGCGGGGCCCTGCCACTGGGTGTGTCCGGGGCTAATTCAAGGCAAAGTTCTGCTAAAGGAGCTGCTGTCCAGTTGCTGGTGGTGTTTGGATTCAGGTTTAAGTTCCCCGTCTCATTCTCAGGCCCCGGAGGGCGGGCAGGGCCAGGTTTCCTGCTCTGGTTCATCCGGGTGCCTCCGCTCTTTTCTGGTCTCTGCCCTTCACCCGGAGGGAGCGGCCTGCAGCCCCAGCGACCCTGTTCCTGCCCCGCCTGGTGCTTCCTGACGGGCTCGGACCCCAGGCAGTCGGTGGGGGGCGTGCGATGTGCCAGGGCCTCTGCCTCGGGGGTAGCAGGGGTCTGGAGACCTGTGTGTCCTCGGGGGGATGTGGGGAGGTGCTGCTGGGGGCCCAGGCCCTGTGTCTGCGGCCCGGGGGGGGTCCCTGCTGGGCATGTCAGCCTCACCACCTCTCCCAGAGGAAATGAAACGTCTGCTAAAGGGGCAGGTTTCGCTGAATAGAGAGCGTGCTGGTGACTCGCTGTCTTCGCACGATGCCCGGGGGCAGGCCCTCCGCCCAGCGTGTGTCTGAGGCCCCTCCCTGCCGCTCTCCGTGGCCACAGCGTCGCATGTGTTTGTGGGTCCTTCCCTCGGAGCTTCTCTACATTAAAGGCTGCTGTTTGCTGCCAGGGCGTGGGGCGCTGTGAAGTCAGTCCCAGGGGAGAAGTCGGTCGGGGGCTGCAGGCTGCAGAGCAGGGCTGGGCTGCCGGGTGGGCGCCATGGCGGGTCCTCCAGGCACAGGCTGGAGGAGCTCACCCCCATGCCCCTGACCTTCAGGGA